GGTCGTTTGCAGTGTGGAGCTGCGGCGTCGGGAGCTGTGTAGTTGTCGATAAATCTGTCCAAAACCAAAGGAATAACACAGTTTTTTGCCTCTTGGGGCCCTCTTGGGAGTTCTCTTGGAGGCCTCTTGGGGCATCTTGGAGGCTTCTTGGGCCATCTTGGAGACGTCTTGGGCCGTCCGGAGGCCATCTTGGGCGTCGTGGAGCGATCTTCGGGCGTCTCGGACCTCTCTTGGACCGTGTTGGGGGCCCTCTTGGGCCGTCTTGGAGGCCTCTGGGGCCGTCTTGGAGCCGTCTTGGGCCGTCTTGGGGCCCTTTTGAGGGCCTCTTGGGCCCTCTTGGGGCGATCTTGGAGGCCTCTTGAGCCGTTTCGGGGCGTCCGGGAACCGAAAAGATTGAAACGCCCAAATCTGTCCCAAACCTAAGAAACAGCATTAATTTTTGCCTCTTGGGGCCCTCTTGGGAGTGCTCCTGGAGGCCTCTTGGGGCATCTTGGAGGCTTGTTGGGTCATCTTGGAGACTTCTTGGGCCGTCTGGAGGACATCTTGGGCGCCGTGGAGCGATCTTCGGGCGTCTCGGACCTCTCTTGGATTGTGTTGGGGGCCTCTTGGGGCCCTCTTGGGGCGATCCTGTAGGATCTGGGGGAGTGTCCCGGGCGTGTCTCGGGCGTGTCCCGGGCGTGTCCCGGGCTCCTCTCGGGGTACTTTTGATCCAGGGACCCCCAGGGGCCGCCCCGCGCGCGCGAACCAGAAGTACTATTTACCAGTTACCGGAGATCTTAGCACGCTTCTGGCCCGTTGGGCCGGCGAATTCATCGTTCCTGAGTTCAGGCCGAATCCTGTATGCCACACCCCTTTCCGACCTTCAACAGAGCGGTTCACGCCCGCGCCGCCGTGGCGGTTCGGCGGCGGCGCCCTCTGGCGGCCACGGGCGCAGCCTCGAGGGGGCAGCCCCCGGCTGCAGTGCCGAAGGACCCCGAGGTCGTCCTGGGCGTGAAGGGTTTTTCCGAAGGGCTTCGGCGACCCGTCCTCCTCCTCTTCCTCCTCCTGCTCCTCCTCCTCCTTCTCCTCCTCCTCCACCTCCTCCTCCATCTCCTCCTCCCCCTCCCCCTCCTCCACATCCTCCTCCTCCTCCTCCTCCTCCTCCTCCTCCTCCTCCTCCTCGGGTCGCCTACGGCCCCAGGGAAAACCGTGCACCTGGGCGAAGAGGAGGCAGTGCCAGGCGCTTCGCGCAAACCCACCCAGCCCAGCCAGAAGCGATGCCCAGGCGAGCTGCCCTGATCGGTGATGTGGAGCAGACTGCAGTGGGGTGGCATCCAGGGTTGATCAAGGCGTCGTGCGCCAAGACGGGGAGGACGGAGGAGGAGGAGGAGGAGGAGGAGGAGGAGGAGGAGGATGAGGAGGAGGAGGAGAGGAGGAGGAACAGGAGGGACGATGCAGGAGGATGAACAGGTGCTTGAGGAAGAGGAGGAGGAGGAGGAGGAGGAGGAGGAGGAGGAGGAGGAGGGCGAACAGAAAGGACAGAGGCCTCTTGGATGCCTCTCGGAGTCTCTTCGGATTTCTTTCGAGAGCTGAGTTTCTTGGAGTCCTCTTGGGGCATCTTGGGGGTCTCTTGGCGAGGGCATCTTGGGGGCTTTTGGGAGCCTCTTGGGGCCTCCTGGGCACCTCTTGGGGCCGTCTTGGGGCACCCTAGGTGGCCATCCTCGAGGGGGGGGGAAGGGTTCCTGGAGCCGCTCACGACGAGAGCCTCCAGATCTCTCGGCCCCATCCCACAGCATTGATGTATCGCCCGCCCGTGCGCCGGTTTCTGAGGATCCCGGCGGTTTGAATACCATGTGCGAGGGTACCGATTTGAAGATTCTACACCAGCGGAATACGGGGATGACGATGAGGAGACGGTCGCGGGAGAGAATGAGGACAGCCACCATTGCCACCACCACCGCCACCATCATCGCCGTCGTCACCGTCGATGCCGTCGCGTGATGCTGGAGTTGTCGTTTGGAGGGCGCCGATGTTGGCCGCAATTGTTGCCCGAAAGGGGCATGGCAGCACCCTCGCGTTTCCCGCTTTCACCTTTTCGAGCGCCCCCCGACTTCGACGGTTTGCCCTCAAGCGCAATGTTGTTTCCCGCGGCCAGCCTGTGCAGATGGCCCCGGTGCCTACGGTGCGTACCCATGAGGCGAGCAGTGGCAGAGCATGAGACGAGTTGTGGTCGCTGAGCAGTTCATCGCGTCCTCTTTTTGCAGCGGCCGGCTACGCCAGCAGTGCGTAGTCAAGGCAGCAGCAGTGATGGATGTTGGAAGTAGGAGCGGCAGCCACGCTGCAACGGTAACGATTGTTTGCCACGGCGGTCACCCGGACGTTGACAGCGGCGGCAGCAGCAGCGGTTGCAGCAAGGGATGGCAGGCAGAAGTGGCGGTTCTGTCCTACCGTGCGAGGGGGTACACGCGGTCTCGCCTTCGAGGACGCGGACAATCCCGGGCAGTGGAGCGAGTTCTTTGGGGACGCTGCCCGCTGCACCGGTCGGGGCTTGGCGTTGGGCGGTGATTGCCAGGAGAGGTGGCAGAACGCATGCCCTACAAAGGTTAGTGTTTCGGACCCCTTGCGTAGACCGAGGGGAGTCTTTACAGCCAGCATCTGGGATGCAACCCGCGGCATCGACTGATGCGAGGCGCGGTAAATAGGCGCTACGCCGCACTCGCTGTCTCAGGGCAGAAGGAGCTGGGGGGGAAGGGACGGAGACATAGCAGGCGCATCAAACAAGAAATCGGCCCGCCAGCAGGTGCCGACAGAAGTTTCTCGTCACCTAGCGGGCCCAGGGACCCACAGGAGCCTTGGGGCACCCCGGGGGGGCCTCAATGATGGACGACGAAGGTGCCCCAAGATTCCTGATCGACTGCCTCAACGTCTTCTCATTGCAAGCCTCCCCATCGGCCCATGCCTCAGCGAACTCCGAGCGCGCTGTGCCGTGAGAAAAGAGGTGGGGCGGCATCAGCGAACCGCTCTGGGGGGCACACGCAGTCGAGACCAAGGGAAGGCTCCGCCCGAGCAGCTCCGCGCATTGCCCCGTCGATCGAAACAGGGGGCTCTCGTCTGACACGTGCGCTTCTGGGACTACCCTGAGGCTCATGTTGGTTTCTATTGGGGGCCTTTATGGCCTGTGCGTGGGGCCGTCGTGATTTATTCTGGGAGGCTCTCTTGAAAAGGGAGGGCGACGACGACGGCGAGCACATCCTCATCGTCCCCCTTCCTCTCTTTTCCCCTTCTGCGCAAGCTGCCCAGTGTTCGGGCCGTCCCTTCCTCTTTGGCCCGCGTCCACTCCTACTTCTCCGCCTCCTTCCCTCGCTGGTCCTCCTCCTCCTGCATCCACTTCCTATCTCTGCTTCATTGTTCCCGACTCTTCCCGTCTTTCTTCTCATCCCTCCGTTCCTCCCGCTTTCTTCCCTTTTCTTTATCCTCGCCCATCCCGTTTCCTTATGAGCAGCTCCTGTTCGCGCCATGAGATGTGTCGATCGGGCTTGGGCGTTTCGCCTGAGACATCGTCAATCCTCACCACTTCTGCCGCTGAGCTTTGACATGCCAAACAATTAAATACATGGAAGATGTCAGGCCGTTTTCAAATTGTGGCTCTCGGCTCAGCGCCATGCACCTTCGTCTCAAAATCTTCCAACCGTTACTCAGATACAGGATGGCCCGCGTTCAATTGAGGCTATCGTTGGAGGATTCTGCAAGTTGCAGCACTCGGAGGAAAACTGTGAGTTCTCTCAGCGGGTGGACGGTCGTTCCGTTTCTGAACGGGGGTCTCGCTTGAGACTTTACGCGTCTTGCTATTAGATCGGCGTCACCCCAACATACTGATACTATGTGTGCGTCGCCCCCCCAGGGGCGATGCGCCCACCGAGGAATGTTATGGTATATGCGCCGTGGCGTGCGCTTTCTGGCCACACCGCTCGAGAAACGACATATTACAAGATGGGTATACTATATGTTCGAGTCGGACGCGCGTCCTCAAGGAGGACATATAGTATTAGTATGTCTCTGCGCGTCCTATAGGAAGTCTACCACTCTGCAGCGCTGCGCAGATGGAGGGCGATATCCCCCAGGTCGCCCGCGGGGGAGAGAGAAGGTGCTTTCGCCTCGCGCGCCGCGGTCGGGGCCTCAGCAGCTGCCCTTCTCCAAGGGGTCAGCTTGGAGGGCGCGAGGGCGCGAGCGGCGCGAAGTTAGGTGTCCAGGAGTTCCTTCTCAAAACCCAGAACGCCCTCGAGTAATGAGAAAATCATGACGCAAGGTTTTTCGCCATTTTCGGTCTCTGGGGGCCCTTGCCAGGCCTCGGGGCCGTCAAACATCGACTCGGGATGACAAGCCGGTCCCGGGGAATAGGCTCAGACCTTGGGGGGTCGACGCAATGAAAAAATCAGGACGTCGGGGGTGTGGGCACGGAGCCCTCTCGCTTGAACCCCATCGCAGCCCTCCTCTACGCTACTTCCCCAGGCATCCGACGACGTGACGAGCGCGCGACCGCAGAGGTCTCGACCCCTTCCCCGGGGACAGTTTTTCCTCCCGGATCCATTGCTGGTGTCCCCAGTGCCCGAAAACGGGCCACCGGGACCGATCGCGGGCAAAAACCGTTGGGATTGGAAAAGCATGCCGCCGGAGAGCTGGGACCTCCGCGCCAATCTCCTCCCAGGAGCACCGTCGCCCGCCCCGCCCCCATCCCTCGCGCTCGGGCCATGGGGGTCCCCAGACGTCCTCCTCCGCTGCAGTTGCGACGCTGAAAGTAGGACCGCTTTGGGTTCGGAAGGGGCTCGCTGCTCTGTGGGTCAGTCCGTGGTTGCGCCTCTGGCGCTTCTCGTGCACCCGGGCTCTTTTGGTGCCAACGAGGGGTATCGTTCTTTGTTTAGGGTTCATCATTCGGGCGACGAGATACATACTTATCCATTGCTCACTGGCCACGCCCATCCTGAACCCGGCAGCGGTATATTGAACCACGCCCTCCTGGTTTGGCCAGGAGGGCGTATACACAGATGCTGGGATCAGGATGGGCCTGGCCAGGGAGCAGTGGCTATGCACAGATCTCGTCGCCCTGATAATGGCGGCAGCTTGACTGTAGGCTCCTCCCTCTGGTTTCCGACATCCTCGGCGGCGGGCTGCAAGAGGAGGAGGAGAAGGAGGAGGTTGAGGAGGAGGAGGAGGAGGAGGAGGAGGAGGAGGAGGAGGAGGAGGGAGAGGAGGAGGAGGAGGAGGAGGAGGAGGAGGAGGTTGAGAAGGAGGAGGTGAAGGAGGAGGAGGAGGAGGAGGAGGAGAAGGAGGAGGAGGAGGAGGCGGAGGAGGAGGAGGAGGAGTCTCCCCCGCGCTCGGTGTCGTCCGTGGCCTCGACCTCGGCCGCGCCCCTCGGCCGCCCTGGTGGGCGGGTGCCGCGGAGGGCGCCCCCCGCAGCGCTGGGTCTGCGGCCTCCTCGGCTGCCCGTCGGGCCCGTCGGGCCCAGGCCCCATTCGATTGTGGACGACGATCAATGGAGAGGAAGAATGTAGCCAAATAGTTTCCAGATGTCTAAAACGTGTGTGCAACATGTCCAAAACATGTAGAGCAACATGTTTTCAACCTGTTTAGGACATTGCTCCTATATTTCCCCCCCCCCCCCCCAAAAAAAAAACACGCTTCGTTCAAAGCTGGGATTGTTAGGGTGTCCACTGTCATGGCATCCACAACCACTCGCTTCTCGGCAGAAGCCATCTCAGGAGGTGCTCTTTTGTGTCAAAGGATTGATCCTCTCGGGGTTCCAGGCCGTCGAGAGACGGCTCGGGATGGAAGGCTGGCACCAGGGCCTCTAGGCCTCCCAGGTGGGCTCGGAGTGGATGGGGTCGCAGGATCACGCCGCATCGCCGATGCATCGCCGATGCGGCTCGATGTGGAGCCCGATTTGCTTCACGTCGACGTCGCCGATGCATCGCCGACGTCGACGATGCATCGTCGATGTATCGGCGATGCGGCGCGATCCCCCGACCCCATCTGCTCCGACCCCATCTAGGAGTCGTCTAAGGGAAGAGGTCCAGACCTCTGGTGGCCCACGTTGTGAAACAACGACCATGACGTCTTGGGTCTGGTGAGATCGTGGCGTCGATTTTTCACGCTGGGAGTTTTCGTGCTGATTCGAGCCCTGGCGCTCTCGGGGGTCGATCCTGCCGGAAAAGTGTCGCATTGAGGGTTGGGTCTACCTAGGGCTCTGGTCGTGACTTGTCACGAGGATGTATTTGTGTTCGCGACGTCGGGCCTCAGAGAAGGCGGGTGCGTCCCTCCCTCACCGAGGGGTGTGAGGGGGTGGGGGGAGCGAAAGAGCGGGGGGGATTGCTCTTGCATCCCGGGTATAGCGGCAACGGTTGGGGAAGTCCTGGACCCCCCCCACATGTTGGTGCTCGCGCGCATATTACAGCGATCGCATCCCCGACGCGCCCCACCCCGCCCAATCGTTACTTTTACACTGGGCTCCCAAGCCCCCGCCCCTGGGTAAGGTAACGGTCGTCACCGGAAGTGCGCCAAACAACCATATCCGGGGCAGAGGCGGGAGCGGGTCGGGGGCGGGGGAGGTGGTGGCAGGGGAGCAGGCGGGGGGAAGAGGGTGGGGAGGATGAGGGGGAGAGGGTGGTGAGCACGGGGAGGAGGAGGAGGGGGAGGAGGAGGAGGAGGAGAAGGAGGAGGAGGAGGAAGAGGAGGAGGAGCAGGAGGAGCAGGAGGAGGAGGAGGAGGAGGAGGAGGAGGAGGAGGAGGAGGAGGGGGGGAGCGGGGAGGGGCGAGCTAGGTGCGCTCGCGTCATATCTGACGTCTTTGCAACACGTTGCAGCGCAAAGCATGGCATCGCACAGCGGTGCAGAACACAACACTGCACAGCATGTCATGGCATGGCGACGGGTTCCTTGGAGGGTAAGTGGATCGTCTTCGAGAGGTCTGGGCTGGTCCGGAGTCGTGGCTCTCTGTCTAGCTCCTCTCCGAAAAGCTCCACACAAGGCGGGGCTGATGGAGAGCACCCGCTGGCTCTGCTTTCAACATCGCCTTCTCAAAGCAGAACGGGGCTCTCGCCTGATACTTCCTGAAAACGACAACGCCCCAAAGTGGGGGGGCTTCTGCGGCCCAAGAAATCAACGACTCGACACCGAATGTGTAATCACTTCCGATGGTTTTTTTTGGGGGGTGCATGTTCGTTTTTCCCGGAAAGGGCGCGGGCCCAGGGTAGGGTTCTCTTTTAGTAGGTTACCCCCCCGGCCCCCCTGCGACTTGGGCCGGCGAAATTATTTTGCGATAAATGACGAGGTTGCGTAGGGCCGGCGAATTAAAAGTTGAGGGTGTCTCGAGCGAAACGCTTGTTTTTCAGAACTTGTTGAGGATGTTTCGAGCGAAGCGTTTGTTTTGTGTTAAAGATTGTCCTCTCCTGGGGACCTGAATTCAGAGGATCTCTCAAGTGAAATGCTTGTTTTCACGTGCCCAGGTCTTGAGGATGTCTCGAGCGAG